CAGTGTTCATTTTGGCAGCTATTTTAAATTTAGTCTTAAGGGTCCCATGTCATGGCCATTTCCACTGATCATAATTCCATTGTTGAGGTCCACTAGAATAGAATTATATTGTGCAATTTTCCAAAATCACTTTGGTTTCTCATACAGCATCTCTGTAAACTACGTCTATTCACTGAATTTCACTCTCTGCCTTTAACGGCTCGTTGTAGCTCCAATAGCTCCAGCCCCAACACTCCCTGTGAGCACAGTGTGCTCTGATTGGTCGGGACGTTGTGAATCGCGCTGAGCTCCGTGGAGGTGTGGTTTCCTTGTTTAGCGACAGCGAAACACAGCCAAACTCACCCTGAACACACACAAAGTCACAGCCGAAGTAAAAACAATAAGTGTGGCTTGATATTGATTAAGAAAAAGGTTGATAAACGCTATGAGAATGGGTCTGCAGAGAGAATTTCGCCGCGATCCCAACTGTCTGTTATCAGCCTGCAGCCAGGGAGGAGAAATCAGCAGAGCTGCTTGCACTGAGTGTGTGTGTGAGGAAGTCCGTGGATTGGTCAATTTGGACCAATCAGCGGGGGCTTAACGTAACGGCTCCGCGGACGTAACGTAACGGCTCCACGGATTGGTCCATTTGGTTCCGGGTAACGCATGACATCATGCGGTACCCGGAAGAATCAATGGACAGTGACGTATCTCCAACGAGGCGTTTTGGGGAGGTATTTTCTGTGTTAGAGTTTTACTCGCTACAGGTTGTACTTTGAGGGTTTTGACTCTGCAGACTGTTTACATGCATAAAAACCTTCATAACACACAAGGGGACGGGTAATAACCGGAAAAGCATGACATGGGACCTTTAAGCAGATCTAGAATTTTGTATTACACTTAAAGAATCCCATTGATGTCAGATGTTCCTCCATAAGGAAACATAGTGGGGGAAAGCCTTTCAGCTACCAACATACACCAACATACTGTATATACAAACATGTCTCATGATATCAAATAAACACGTAACTAACTGATTCATTGTAAGTCAGTTAAGCATTTTGATCAGGAAGTCTCAACGACATCAATAGCTCCATCATGAAAGAGACCTAAAACTGATGAAATAAATACAAACACAGAGTGAGTGATGTTGGGACATAATGAACTGTCTCAACATGAGACCTTCTAGGTTCTCCTAGAGATCTGTAATGCTGTAAATGTTGACTAAAACATGTCTATCTCAAACTGGGGTAATGCTGCCATACTGATTCAAACACATTTATTAGGAAAGTATACATTTTAACAAAGTATTTAACAAAGACTCAAAAAACACATTTTCCACATATCATTATTAATTATTAAAAATGTCTCATGAAACTCACAAACAGTATAAAAGTGGAGGAGGTCTGGAGGGTGAGGGTTGAGATCAGAGCAGGTTCAGGTGAGTCGGCCATTGTTCAAACCACGTCTGTTAATGTGTGAGCGGAGATAAGAGTTCTCCCTGCCACAGCCTCAGGTCTTCCTCTCCCTTCTGCATCCAAACACATAGAGGGAAGAGCATGAGGCTACGCACAGCAATAGCACCTTCATTAAGGGAAGAGCATGAGGCTACGCACAGCAATAGCACCTTCATCAAGAGTGTTGTAACTAAAGGTCATTTACTTTGAACCTTGAACTGCTACCCTCACACATTTTAAATGTGTCTTTCATGAACACATCACACTTTAAACTTCACTTTGTTGATGTTTTATATAAGTAATTATAATACAAATGCTTTTTTTTGTTGCTTTATACTCTTTAATATTGTGTTGAGATCATGGGTTGATTGAAAAATTGACAAAAGACATACTTATTCTTATCAAATTGAAGGGCATTTGTTTTAAAGCTACCACTGAGGACACTGTGTAATTACTGAGGAGGGCTTGACATTCTAAAAGTACCCAAAAAGACACGTGGTGTTTTCACAGTCTTTGGACATGTTCCTGGAAAGCATCCAATCATTAAAGCTCATCAGAAGCTCATCAGAACTCTATTCAGTGTAAAGGGTAATTGGAAACAGCTTCAATCTGCACTTCATGTATTACTGAACATATTATAAATATAATACAGAAACAAACAAACAAAAGATGAAAGGTTATTAAATGTCCCTTTGTGGTGTTAGTTAAGGTGTTAGTTAAGGTGTTCTTGTTTGAGTTACACTGATCCCTGTTTCTTTGTGATTCTGTTTATGTGCAAACTATCTAATTTAAATTGCCAACATTTTTAAATATATGCATCTAAAAACGAGAATTCATTGTTTGAACATCACTTTCCACAATCCGCATTTTTATATTTCTGGTTTCAAATTCTTGGAAGCAAGCAACAAAATCCTTTTGATCTCAGTCTCCCTCCTACAGGGCGCTGATGTATGATGGTATGCGATTTGAACAGATATATAGGCTCAAAACAGATATGCAAGTGGAACAAAGGATTTAATACAACAGGCTGTAACACTGTGCAGTGTAGGCTGTATGTGACGTCACAGGCCTTACCTGCAGGCATCTCTACGTCACAGCCCCCCACTGATGAGACAGGAGTTCGCGGGGTGTGCTCCTGTGGGGTCATCGTTGTCATGGCAACAGCCACCTGCTCGGCCCCTTCTGACCTGTTCGCGCGGGCCGGTGCTCCGTTCCTGCGGAAGGATGTCCTGATGCCGGAGGTCACGCGACTGGAGAGGCGCCGCACCGCCCCGCTGAGGCCGCCCAGAGCCCCGCGGTCCTTCTTCAGTAACCCTACATCATCCTCCAGCTCCGCAGGGGACACCTCGATGTTCCCGGAGTACCAGAACACCCACCAGATGAGGCTGAGGAAGATGACGATAGCTCCCGCGTATATGAGCAGGTCATAGAAGAAAACGTTCACGAACACCCCGAGCAGCAGGACCAGAAGCCCCATGATGTCAAAGGCTACCGCGAGCCAGAAGCAGCACACACAGCGGCCCAGCCCCCGGTACACCGGCTCCATTTCTGCGATCAGCAGGCCAGTGAACCTGGAGAGACCCCTGACCGTTTATCTCCAGGAGCCTTTTGTGCCTGGCATCGTGTGTCAGAGCGGGGTAAGGTGAGCCAGGCTGCCGGGGAGGGGCGGGCTGCTCCTGGGGGAGGGGCTGAGCTCTACCTGGCGGTTATGCAGGGCCGTCCCTGGCCAACTTGAGGCCCCAGGGCGAAACCGTACCGTGACACAATAATTGCGCCGCATAAACGCATAGGGGTATGGAAAGCCTAAAGTGCCACCATTCGCCCGCGTAAAACGGGCGTAAAACGCGCGTTCTTGACGCGTCTAGAAACGCGCGTTTTTTAATATGATAATGAACCCCTCCTTCTGATTTCCATAGCCACTACGTTTAAAGTGTCTGTAACCAATCAGTGAAGAGTAAAGCCAGACCAAAGCAATCTGTAGATGAAAAGTTCCTGAAATGTTTAGGCTTTGCTGTAAATTGTATATTATTCCAGATTCAGGGGACCAAGTATTAATTTTCCTTTGAATATAATCAATAAATCAAACAATATAAGATATATATA